AAGGCCCTGGGTTCAATCTCCATTAAACACACGTTTGCACACACACATATTGGGTTAATAGTGGTATTATGATATGGCTATGTTCCTTATTTAGACATTGCGTCTAAATGAACATCAGCTGCTGGATCATGGAGATTACCAGACACTGCCACAAGTGGGATGAAGTTACAGATATGCTAAATTAGAGGAATGAAAAGAGAATAAAGTCTACAAAGGCTATTTCCTGGAATTAATGAAGGGTGACATATAATTGGAGAAATTGATTCCTGATGCTTTTATTCTTCCATCTTCCAGAACATCTTTATTATTGGAGTAAGAAAATGAGGATGGAGGATATTTAGACATCCTTCTGGGGTGAGTTTAAGAAGAGAGATTTGCTGGGCATGGTGACACATACTTATAATCCCAGCATTTAGGAGGCTGAGGTAGGAGAATCACTGCAAGTTCTGGCCCAGCTTGGGCTACATAGTGAGTTCAGGGCCAGCCTGCAGTACATAGCCAGACTCTCTCAGAAAAAAACAAACAAACAAGCAAAAAACTGTCCTGTGGTCCTGGGGGTCCACAGCAGGCACCATCCTAAATTGGGGGATGATGGTGAGTCACAGAACATCTTAGACTGAAGGAATAATAGTGAAGCCTCAGATGCAGTGCTGGTTGAGGAAAAGGAGATAACTGTAGTCAACATTGCTCTAAGATGGGGAAGACAATATGGTAGGTTATTAGATATTGTGGAGAGCTAAAGGCAGATCAGCAGATATTGATGTATGATGGAATCTGTCAACAAATGCTCCTTAGAGGCTAGGGAGCCAAAAGGGAACACCCAGGCCTGCCCCCTTGATCAGACTGTCCCTTCCCCCACATCTTCACCTCATTTTGTCCATCACAAAGGCAAGACTATTTCTGCACAGCACAACTATTTTCCACTCCCAGGATGACCAATGGACTTGCCTCTGGTAAATCATTCTGCTGGCTCCAGTAGGTCCACCCAGCTGACCATTCAATGAGAATATGCACTAGTATCTGCAAGCCACAACTATGTATCTTGGGTTGGTCACCTAACTCTCAAGGAAGACATTTGCTCTCCACCCTTCCATACTGTTGGCTTCAGACACACCTGTCAAGACAGGATAAGCAAGTCTGTAGGTTGGGTTCTTTGGTGGCAGGGACTTGCTGACATGCAGTTTGGGTAGAGCAGAGCTATGCACACAGAAGTACAGTGAAGTGGACTTATTAAAAAGTCATTTTGGAGCTGAAATTTTGGGATGTTGGAATCAAGGTAGGAAATTCTAGAAGCATTCATGTGAGCTATCCTACATCCATTTCCTCTTCCTTACATGGGTTAGTATCAGGAGGTTTACAATGACTTTTTAGTTTTAGGACTGGGAAAGGACACAGCTCTAGTAAAGACTGCAGGGGAGAATGACTGCTGTTTTAGGATTCTTCCTATTGAAGCCTCCCATAGTGCAATATAAAAAGGATACACAGATTAACTCTCCACAATCTGCATTTATGGAATGCTTGCTGTATGGCAGGCATGGGTCTAGGCTCACAGTGGTGAAGAAAACAGGGAAAAAAACCTAATGTAGCTAAGTGTGATGACACACACCTGTAATCCCAGCAGTTGGGAGGCTGAGGCAGGAGAATCTCATGAGTTTGAGGCCAGCCTGGGCTACTTAGGGAGACCCTATCTCAAAAAGCCAAAACAAACAACAAAAACTAATGTAGGGTCATAGAAAAATAAATATACAGTTCATCATGGTGGTAGGTGCTATGGAGATAAAATGAAGAGGCAGGTAGGCAAGGAAGGGTTTTCATAAGCTGTAGTTGGAAAGACATGAAGGAGCAAGCTACACTGATATAATGAAGCTGTGGTCTTTGCAGACATTGCACATGCATAGGCCCAGAGTCAAGAACTGAACTGATGTTTGAGGCACACAGGAGAGAAGGTCCTTGTGGAGTGCATGACATGAAAATGGACATAGAGTAGTGAACATGTGTTGGAGCTTGTTTTAATGGGTTATTGTTTTTATGAAAGCCAGACTATTAAGGAAGACAAATGAGTGTGAAGAACTGTGACAGGGAGACTTAAATTGACCTACATGACCTGAAAAATCCTTCCTCAAGAAGCTTTCCTAAGGTAAATGAAGTTCAAAGGATGTGATCCTAAGGGTCAGAAGACAATGTGCTGATGGCTTGTGAGGCTCAAATTCACTACTTGTGGCTAATGAGAGGGGCATTACAACTTTGTGCCAGATGACAATGTAGAGTCCACATACACTCAGAGATTTGTATCAGAGTGTATATAAACAGTCTATGTCAGAGGAATATATTTTTATTATAGTATTTTTTGACAGAAGTACTCAGTGGGAGAATAGATATACACAAATGTATTAGATTCAATCAAATAATTAAAAACACAAAACTGTTAGACAATGTGTTCTGCAACAAACAACTTTCAGAACTGAGGGCTTATCACTTCCTATATATTGTTTTGTCATTCAGTTTGTTGGCACTGTACCTATTCTACCAACAGGATTATCATTAACATGGCTTAACATAATCTTTCCTAAGTAAAGCTAATTTATGGGTGTTCCATCATATTTTTCATAAGAAGTCTTTTTCTAAAATATCAGTTCCTTCACAGTATGGATGCCCCAGGTTTAATGATGCTGATGACAGTATAGGAAAAGCTTTCTTCCATATTCAGTTCCTTCTTAGAGGTCTTCTAAACAGTAACATGTGACGTTCTGATGTGGGCATTTCTACTTAAAATATGCATACCATTCTGTTGCATGGATTCAGTAATGTACAATAAGACATGTCCTCAGTAAGCTTTTTTTCATACTGTTCAAGTGTGAATACTCTGATGCACATTGAGAACCGATTTCTGAACAAAACCTTTCCCACAGACTACACACTTATAGGGTTTGTCTCCAGTGTGTGTTGTTTGGTGTTTATTCAAATTTGACCTATCAGTGAAGGCCTTCCCACACTCAGCACACACATAAGGCTTCTCGCCTGTGTGAATTCGCTGATGTACTTGGAGCTGTGATTTCTTAGTGAAAGATTTCCCACAGTCACTACATTCATAAGGTTTCTCTCCAGTATGAATTCTATGATGTGTAATCAACTCTGACTTCTGCCTGAACGTCTTCCCACATTCAGAACAAATGTAAGGCTTCTCTCCGGTGTGAGTTTTTTGGTGTTTACTGAGATTTGATCGGCCACTAAAGGCTTTTCCACACTCTGCACACACATAGGGTTTCTCACCTGTGTGGATTGGCTGATGCACAAGGAGCTGAGACTTGGAGGTAAAGGATTTCCCACAATCATTGCATTCATATGGTTTCTCTCCAGTATGAATTCTTTGATGAGTGATGAAATTTGACTTTCGGATGAAGGCTCTTCCACATTCAGTGCACACATAGGGTTTCTCTCCTGTATGAATTTTTTGATGCACAATAAGTATTGATTTCTGGTTGAAGGCTTTCCCACATTCATGACATTCATATTGTCTCTCTCCAGTATGAATCTTCTGGTGTATATTGAGGTGTGACTTCTGGGTGAAGGCTTTTCCACAGGTACTGCACTCATAAGGCTTCTCTCCAGTATGAATTCTCTGATGTGTAATCAAGTCTGATCTCTGAGTGAAGGCCTTTCCACATTTAGAACATATGTAAGCTTTTTCTCCTGTATGCGTTTTCTGATGTGTAATGAGATTTGACCTATTGGTGAAAGCCTTCCCACATTTATTGCACATATAGGGCTTCTCTCCTGTGTGAATTCGTTTATGCACATGGAGCTGTGATTTAGAGGTAAAGAATTTCCCACAGTGACTACATTTATAAGGTTTCTCCCCAGTATGAATTATCTGATGTGCAATCAAGTGTGCCTTTTGGATGAAGGCTAGGCCACACTTCATGCACACATATGATTTTTCTCCTGTATGAATTCGGTGATGCACTGTAAGTGCTGACTTCTGTGTGAAGGCTTTTCCACAGTCACTACATACATAAGGTTTTTCTCCAGTGTGAATTCTCTGATGTATAATCAACTCTGACCTATAGGTAAAGGCCTTCCCACATTCAGTACATATGGAAGACTTCTCTCTAATTTGAACTTTCTTATGTGTTATGAGGTTGCAACTATTGTTGAAGACCTTCCCATACTCAGTACATACGTAGGGCTTGATTCTGGTGTGAATTCGTTGATGTACCTGGAGTTGTGACTTGGAAATGAAGCATTTTCCACAGATACTACATTCATATGGTTTTTCTCCAGTGTGAATTCTTCGGTGTGCAACCAAGTGTGTCTTCTGGATGAAGGCCTGTCCACAATCAATGCATATATAAGATCTCTCACCTGTATGAATTTTCTGATGCATCTTGAGTGTGGACTTTTGTGTGAATGCTTTGCCACAGTCACTGCATTCATGATGTCTCTCTCCAGTATGTATTTTCTGGTGGATAATGAGATCTGAGTTATAAGAAAATCCTTTCCCACATTCACTACATTCATAGAGTTTTTCTCCAGTGTGAATTCTCTGATGTCTGAAGAGAGAAGATACCTGGAAAAAGGACTTTCCACATTCATTGCATTTATAGGGTTTCTCTCTGGTGTGGGTTTTTTGATGAGCAATGAATTCTGGCTTCTGTATACAAGCCTTCCCACATTCAATACATACATACAGTTTTTCTCCTGTATGCACTTTCAGATGTACCTTGAGATGTGATTTCGGAGTGACAATCTTTTCAAACTCAACACAGTTATAGGATTTCTCCCCAGTATGAATTTTCTGATATTGAGAGGGTACTCGTTTGTAAGTGATAATTTTTCCATATTGATTATGGCCCCATAAGTTCTCTTCTGTTATAGTATACTCCTGGTCAGTATAGGAAGAAATTTTACCATAGTCAATAACCTTTTTAGTGCTCTTCGATGCATTATTTGTAGTATGACTGTGTAAATCTAAATTATACTTCAAACTGTTCCCAAATGAGTCACACAGATGAGGTCTTTTGGGAGGAGGAATGAAGTTTGGGCTAACATGAATTATTTGTCTAATGTCTTTATATTCATGATGATCCTTTATAGTTATCATTTTCTTGATGAAAGCAACATCACTGAATGATTTATTTTCTGTTTGTGGGTAGCTCTCTATCTGGTCACCAATCTGCTGCAATTTTTCTAGAATGAAGTACAGGAAAAAATCACTTTTAACATCATCTTCTTGCTGAATGTAGAAAGCTTTTTACAAAATCCCCTGTTGTGAGACAGATCTTTCTCAAAGGGAAGGGGATCAAGAGATGGAGTAAGAAGGGAGATATGGGATAAATAAATGAGGAAAAACGTAATTAAGATATGTCTATGTGTACCACCTCCACACAAGAAATGTAAATATTATGTACTGCAAATATGTACCAAAAAAAAGGAAAGGGATCAAGAGTTGGGTTGAGGAAGGAGGAAAGAAAGGGAAAGGGAATTTTAAAAAGGAATTAAAATGCATTATGTACATATTCCAATTCCCCACAAGGAATGTAAACATTAGGAACTACACACATGCATTAACAAAAAAAAAAAAATTGAAAAAAAATCCCCTGTTGCAAGGTTTGGAATCCAGACTGCCCATCTCAAAGGACAAACAGGTGATTGTAGCTCAAAGAACAGTTAGCAGAGTCTATAAATGGTTCATCTAGAACACAGAAAAAGGTGTGTGTGCCTAATCTGAAGAGAATGATGGTGGGGTGGTGATAGTGTTGATACAGAAGATTCTGATATATAATTTGATAGAGAAAATAAATTAAGTGAACAGATTGTACTACAGACAGATGTGAAAAAAGGCAAATAACAAGATATATATGAAAGTAACTTTTATACAAACTAGTGACACTTACCCCTAATTTAAATTTTATAATATGCATGAACTTAAAAATGTTTCCATCACATAGAATAATTACATGTGGTAGGAAAGGAGAGAGATATAGAGAAAAGAGAGAAGAGGGAATAAATAAAAAACAAAAGAATCCTCAGCCAAACTCATGATGATGAGTCTCAAATTGAGGGTATGATTAAATTCAAACCTCATCAGGTGAAGTAGAGAAATAAAGCAGCAACAAAAAAAATAATGAACCAGGCAGAGGGACCCTAGTCAATGTGGAGTCACTCAAGCAGCATTAGAAGATAATTTCAGGAAAGGTGGTAAATAATGTCAAACACGACAGATGGGTATTCTCAAAGGTTAAATGACAGTAGCCCCCAAGGTGTCAGTTGGATGACAGGCACAGGAAATTGGAAAGAAGTGAGAAATTGCATAGTACCATGGAGAAAATAGGAAGAGAGTTGGGTTGCAGATAAAAAACTGAGGTATCTCACAGTGAAATGAAACAAAAGGAGACTAGCCCAAATGTAAGCATAGTAATTTGGAAAGAAAATACATCATAGAGCCAAGTATGGTGGTGCACATCTGTAATCCCAGCATTTGGGGCTGAGGCAGGAGGATCGCTGGGCCAGCCTGAACTACACAGTGAGATATTGTCACAAGAAAAATAAAACAAAATGATCCTCAAAAAAAAAAAAAAAAAAACCCCAAAAAGAAAACATCCACAAATGTCTGAATGTATAAATAAAGATACTAGGGCTATGAAAAAGGTAGAGAAAAAAGAACATAACCAACAAAGAATGATCTTTAATGACGCAGAGTAGCACATGATCCAAAAAGCCAGGGAAGAAGACAAAAGTGACAAAGATTCATTGGGCTAGAAGTCATTTAGTTATTTGAAAGGTCAATGTCAAGGATCCTCAAGCAATACAAAAAAAATGTAGAAGAGTCATCTTAGTAGCATGTTAGTGCCTATCTTAAAACAGCTGATATTTACTCTCTTCCTTTGTTGAGAATCCCTTCTCTCTCCTCTATCTGGGTCACACTCACCTTGACAGCTCTGATGTGAGCTATCACCCTCTGATGCCCATGGCTCCTTTCCTTGCTCCAGGATGAAAACCTGTGGCTCAGGAACTTGATACCCTGTTCATAGGAAATGATAAAGAACTGGGTCCAGGTAATTATTTCTCAGTGTCCAATCAAGTCTTACTGTTCAATGAGGGTTTGTTCTTCAGAAAAGTAACCATATATCTTTATAAAGAGTAACAGTGCCTAAAGGAGGTAGAGAACCTTAAACAAATCGAAGTTCAAATCATCACATATTTATCTCACAGTATTGATCCAATTGAGAATTGACACCTTCTCAGTGGGGCCTCTTCACAGGTGCCAAGGTGGCTGTGCTTACCTACTGAGAGCAGATGGCTGTAGGTCTCCTGCATCACATCCCGGTAAAGGTTTCTCTGACCAGGGTCTAGATGCTGCCATTCCTCTCTAGTGAAATCAATAGTTACATCCCTGAAGGACACTGATCCCTGTAATGACAAATTCCTGTTCAATATAAATAGTTAGCTTTAGAAAAATCATATTTAGGAGTATGAAACATGAGATTGTTTTTGTTAATTGAAGTCTTCTTTTTAAAAACTAATCCCCAGAGAGTGGATGTCAGGAAGATGGCTGACTGGAAACCCTAGTTCTCATTCTACCAACAAAGGCAGTTGAAACAATGGATAAACAATTACATTTTGATGAAGATAACTAAAGGACCCCACAGCACATGGAAGGAGTAGCAGAAAATGTGTAGAGCACAAAACCCCAGGATGGCCACATACAGAACAAACCCCACCACCCTACCTCTTAGGGATTAACTTAGAACTAGAAGGGGACTCTTCTCTACAGGGAAAAGGACTATGGTAACCACCACCACCATGAATACCTACAGTCCTTGCCACTGAGGAGTCTTAACAGTCCTCATGGGAGATAAGTCCAGCTGCCTAGAGTGTCACTCTCCCCAAAGGCACTGACACTGTACCCTGCCTCCCTCTACACTATCATGCTGAGTGCATCCTGCTCTGGGGGTTAGTAGTCAGAGTACCTTTCCATCCCTGAGGCTTTGTGGTCACTGAACCACTCCTGGCCTGTGGCCTACTAACCCTGAGACAAACTACCCTGTGGGATCAAACTATCATGAAGCTATTTCATTCAGCCCTACCAACCGTTGCTGTACCCTGCCTCTTGAGGCCTTAGGTCAAGTGATGCCCTACCTCCTAGGGAAAGAGTGTCTTGTCTATCCAGGGAAGTCATACCTTCCTGTGCCTGAGCTGAAACAATACATCAAGCTAAGCAACAACACATTCCAGGCTGGGCTAACACAGTAGCCCAAGTTGCAAGGAAAGAGCATTCTTTGGTGGGGTTTACAGCATTGAGCATACTTCCACAGAAGTAGGAAGTATTCTGTTTCTCTGGAATTAGACTAGTGCCCTAGAGTCTGAGCTCCTTAAACAGACCCCTGACCAAGACACATTCTAACCTAAGTAGTACAGTCACAACTGTACTGCTTCCTATTCTCCAGGGCCCAAACAACAGCTGCATTCTGCCAGTTTTGGCTGGAATTCTGATAGCGGCACTTGGCTGTGAGGAGTGTGGGTAGGGCCGTGTGCTACCACCATCCATGGTTAAGAGTCACCATTATGCAATGTATCATCCCTTGGGGCCTGAGTCTGTGACTCTAAAGCACCCATAGTAGTTTGAGCATGAAGTATGGGTTATAGCTGTGACCAAGCACTGGCTCCACTCCAGGGAAGAAGGAGTGCTCTGGAGGCTTGGGCTTGGGAAGCAGACTACTGTGGGTGCTTCAGAGTCACAGACTCTGGCTTTGTGGATAATCTGCATCCAATTCTGACTTGAGTAAACCTGCATCCCCAAATCGGAGGTGACATGATAGGTTAGTGAGCCTCTAAGCCCAGGACCCAGCTACCAGCCTAAGCATATGTGTCCTGGAACCCAGCATTGGTATAGTTGCTTGTACACCACATCAGACTTGGTAAAATGAGGGATCACCTCACTAAGACTCACCACTGTGGGAAAAATAAGAAAAGGAGCACCCCAAAAGCCCTTGCCACTATGGACCTTCACAACCTACATGCTGTCACTGTCACTACAAATTCCTACAGCCTAGGCTGCTGAGGCACTGACAGATATTGTTGGTGTCGATCAAAGCTAAAGAAACTGTGTGGAGGGGCTGGCGATTTAGCTCAGCGGCACAGCACCTGCCTGACAAGTGCAAGGTCATGAGTTTGATTCCCAGTACTGGGAAAAAAAAGAAACTGTGTGGAGAATATACTACTATATCTCCTTGGAACCAGAGCTACTATACTCTCCTTAATCAGGTGAACGTCTCTGCCTACAAAAGCCACTCTCTGAAGCACATAAGAGGTATTTTTTGGGTTTTTGAGGCAAGATCTCACTATGTAGTTTAGACTGGCCTTGCACTCACGGTGATCCTCCTGCCTCAGCCTCCAAAGTCCTGGGATTACAGGTGTGCACAACCACACCCATTTCCTGGAAGAGGTAAGTTTTCCATCAGATGTGCAGACATAGACACAGGAACATAAGAAACATGCAAAAGCAAGAGAATGATACAACTGACCCTAAATAAATGGAAATATAAATTGGCTGAAAAAGAATTTAAAATAATCTTAAGGACACTCTGTAACTAGGTGTGGTGGTACATGCCTGTAATTCCAGCACTCTGGAAGGCTGAGGAAGAAAGATCACAGTTTTGAGCCCTGGGCAACTTAGCAAGAGCCTGTTTCAAAATGAAAAATTAAAAAGGGCTGAGAGCATAGCTCAGTGCAAAGGTCCTTAGTTCAATTCCAAGTATTGAAAAAAATGTAAATCATGACAACAAAAATATAAATTCTTGGGGGAATAATAAAATTCTAGAGTTTTTGCATTTGACTAAAATAGTTCTCAATATAAAATAGTCTATTATAAATGTTTTATTTAAGCCTCATGTTAACCACAAAGGAAAACATTACAGCAGATACACAATAGAGCAAGTAATCAAAACTCAGTACTACAGAAAATCACTAAATCACAAAGATGAACAATAAACAGGGGAAAGAGGAGCAAAAGA